GGGGGGTGATTTCTCACTTTCTGTCTCTCTCTGTCTGCCTGGCAAGCACATGCGCCCTATAGCAAAAACCTCTCCAAAAAAAGGAAAAAAAAAATACCACAGCAGTTCTGTTATGTTCTCTGTGAGTCAGAAATGTGGGACGATCTTAGCTGGGTGGTTCTAGCTTGAAGTCTGATGCAGTGGCAGTCAGGCAATGCCTGGAGCTAGCTCAGCAAGTGCTGGAGGACGCATAGGCTGGTCTAGAATCTCTCTCCTCTCTTCTCATGTCATCCCAGGGCCTCAGGGCAGTCACACAGCTCACATGTAGGGCTCAAGAGTCCAGCTTGAATATTCCAGAAAGGAAGGTGTAAGTTACATCATCTTTTCTGACCTTGATTCAGATGTCCCACAATGTCATTTCTCCTGTTTCTGTTATTCTTTTAGTTACAAACGAGTCACAAGTCCATCAAATTCAAGGGGAGGGGACGCAGGCCACACCTCTCAGTGGAAGGAGTGTCAAGGTTGTATTAATAGACCAATATGTGAGATGGGAGATACTGTCACAGGCATCTCTGGAAAATATGATCTGTCACACACAGCATGTGGTAGAGCAGGGTTTGGATTAGAAATGCCTGCTTCCAAAACTTCTGCTGCCACTTTTTAGCTCAGTCCACAGGGACTTCTGCTTTCCTCTGTGTCCTGTAGCCATTACTGTCATTTCACACAACTGGGATTTGTTCTCCCAAGCCAACTAGAGACTGGCTGGGTTAAAGCAGCCAGTCTGTCTTTGCAGGCCCTGGCAGTGAGATTCCTCCAGGGTCTGCTGGTCAGAGAGGTCATGCCCAATGCCAGCTTGTGAACTTTTTAAAGAAGGGGACAGAGAAGGTCGGTCATATCCAGCAGAAGAAAGCAGGTGGCAGCTATAGAACACAGCGAGCCTACAGCACATCTCACTGTCGTAAACAACTTGTCTGGTGTTTTTCCTTCTCCCACCAGGCACTGGCCTGGAATGACTCAGGCTCTGACAGAAAAGGTGCCTTCAAGTCAGGGAACAGCCCAAGGTAGTAGAAAGCTCATGGTTCTGGAGTCGAATTTGCTTGGGTTTGAATTCTGACTCTATCACTACCTGTTATTTGGCCTTGGGCAAATTCCTTAACCTCCAAGAGCAAAGGGAGAAAAAATAGCCTCCTTCATTGGGTTGTTTTGGAGATTAAAATGTACATAGGTAAACCATCTAGTGCACTGCCAGACTCATAGTGCATGCTCCATAAATGCTAGTTGCTGTGTCCTAGGCCAGCTCCATCCCATTTGAGGACTTCTTGAAGAAGGCGGTGAGAACTCATTTTGACTATTTCTCAAACACTAGTCCATCTCCATGGCCCTCTATGGCATGGAAACCCAGAAGCCCCAGTGCAGCCCCAGACAGCCCTGAAGGAAGGCCTGCAGCAACTGCCCAACAATCCTGCAAATGGAGTCATCTGTATCTTTTCTTCCCACTCTACTTTGTCTTCTCCATTGTGATCTACCAAGACTTCTCCCCTAAACATTTCCCTCACCTAGGTCCTGATACACTACAGACTTCCAAAAATGCTTATTGGATAGATGGATGGATGGATGGATGGATGGATGGTTGGATGGATAGTTGGATGGCAGATCATTTCTGTTGCTTGTTTTGTGTCCTCTCTCTGAAATGCCTTTTTCAATTCTCCCACCTTTATAGTCTAGCTGAGAATGGTCTTTGTCCAGATTGTCCTTGGACAATTTCAGGTCCCTGCTCCTATCATCCTGCATGCCCCCTCCAGACATACGCTCACAAGTTTGGGGAGGCAGAGTACTTAAGGTCATACCCAGCTCCATCACTGACGTTGGCATGTGACCTCTGGGGAGATCAAATACCTTCACGGAACAGTGAGAATAATAATATACCTACCTTACTGAGTTGTGGTTAGCATTAAATGAGTCAATTTACATATAGTACTTAAAAGTTTGCCCAAACACGGATAAGCCTAGAGGACATTATGTGAAGTGAAGTAAGTCAGACACAGAAAGAGGAATACCACATGTTTGCATTGACATGTAGAAATTAGAACAGATGACCTCATAGAAGTAGCAAGTAGAAAGAAGAGTTACTACTAGGGTCTAGAAAGGGAATGGGGAGGAGCTATGGAGAGATATTGGTTAATGAATATGAAATTACGGTTAGGTAAAAGAACAAGTTCTAGTGTTATATAGCACACTAGGGCAACTATAGTTAGTAGTAATTTGTATAATTCAGACTAGCCAAAGAGAGATTTTTGAGCATTTCCAACACAAAGTAATAACAAACCACTGAGATGATGGATATGCTAATTACCCTGATTGGATCATTACACTTGTATGCATGTCCTGGAAAAAAATCACACTGAAACTTACAAATGCATACAATTAGTATGTGCCTATTAAAAAAAGTTCTATTTTAACCTTTAAAAAAGATTTCCCCCAGGAGAGGGGGGGGGCAGAGGGTGGTGTAGTGGTTAAGGCACTGGATTCCCACATAGCTGACTGAGGTTCAAGTCCTGGACCTGGCAGCTTGAAACTCACACTGGGCATGTTTGTGTGCAAATCCCAAGAGGAAAATAGAGGAAAAGGGACTGTGGCATGGCCATCTCCCCTAGTGGTGTGTTGGGGGGTGAATTCTCACTTTCTCTCTCTGTCTCTGTTTCAGCAAGCACATTTGCCCTATAGCAAAAATATCTCTCTTTTAAAAATTCCCTGAACATATTAAGTATTATATAAATTTAACTATCATTTACTCATTTAACAAGCTTTTATTTTGTACTTATTACCAGGTGAGTATGAGGGTATTTAGGTGATGCATAAGGTAGATATGGCCTATGCCGCTTAGAGCTTGCAAGCTAGAAGAGGCTACCCAAAAACAGCAGCAATTAAAATGCAGAAATTAAGAGGACCAGCAGATGGTGTAATGAATATGTCACTTGAATCCCTCATGGCTGACTGCAGTTCAAGTCCTAGACTTGGTGACTTGAAACTCACATGGGTGCATGTGCGTGCATGACCAAAATCTCAAGAGGAAAACGGAGGAGAGGAGATTGTGGTGTGGTCATTCCACCTGGTGGGGTGATTTCTCATTTTCCTGCTCTGTCTATGTCTCAGCAAGCACATTCACCCTATAGCAAAAATCTCTCTCTTAAAAAAAAAATTGGAACCAGCAGATGGCGTAATGATTACATCGCTAGATTCCTACATAGTCGAATGTGGTTGGAATCCCAAACCCGGCGCTTAAAACTCACACCAGGTATGTGTGCGTGTGTATCCAAGATCCTGAGAGGAGAATGGAGGAGAAGGGATTGCAGCATGGCCATCCCCATTTGGGGGTGATTTCTCGCTTTCTGTCTCACTGTCTCTCTCTCTATCTCTCCAGCAAGCACATGTACCCTATAGCAAAAAAAAAAAAAAAATGCGGTAGGATAGGTAACCTGGTTGGTATAGACTTGAAAGCAGCTGTGGGAAAACTAGAAGGGAGCCCCTGTTCCAGCAAGGACAGCCAAGGAAGACTTGCCCAGTAGGTGACAGCTGAATTGAGGCCTGGAGGCTGAGGAGCCGGTCATCTAAGGTCTGTGAAGGAAAGGAATGTGGTCGAGGGAGATGAGGTGGTATGGGCAAAGGCCTAGTGGCCAAGGAAGCTTGAAACCACTGGAATGTGCAGGGCAAGGGGGTATGGGAGGAGGGAGGTGGCAAGCACAGAACTGAGAAAATAATCAGGGTCTCAACTGTGAACAACCTTGTAAATCATGCTCAGAAACGGACTTCAGCGGGAACTAGGAGCCAATGAAGGGTTTCACTGGCTGAGTGACATGGTTGGATCTGCTTCTTAGAACTCTCCCTGACTATAGAAAATGAACTGGTGGGAAAATGTGAGCAATCCTGTGGCAGGAAGGCTTGTTAGGACAGGACAATAGTAAATCCAGGGCACAAGTGATGCTGGTCCACTCTAGGGGAAGGGAAAGAAGTTAACAAATTCAAGAGATGGGGGTGTCAAGGAGAAGGATTGGTGTCGGCTTAAATGTTCAGAGCTGAGGGGCGGGGAGAAAGAGGGGTTATGTGAGTAAACACATAATTCCCATACTCAAGAGATAAAGTGATATGTCCTTTGAATTCAGTCAGTTCAGAAGCCATGGAGGTATAAGGCAAGAGCACCAGTCCCAGCCCAGGGAGGAGAGGAGAAGGTATTCTAGAAAGTTCTATAAAGAGGTGACCTAAATTGGAGAATTGACAGGTACAAATTAGCCAAGGGAAGGGGGAAGATGCTTCAGACAGAGACGATAGCATGTGCAAAGCTGCAGTGATGTGAAGCAGATACTCTGTGCTGTTAAATAATTATTGCACTAGTTCATACTAGGGTGTTAATGGTCTGTATGGAATTGGCCCTTTCTCCTTCCCCTGGTAGCTTGTACTTTAACAGATGATGAATCTTTAAGAATTTGTTATTTGGAGAGTTTCAAGGTGGAATGGGGACAGTACTTAGGGTTAAAGGATTTTATCATTGTGCCTGAGGTTACCGAAGTAGACAACATCCTTGAGGGTCAGGCAGGCCCTCAAGGTCTATATACAAGGTCCCTTGCCCTTGGGTCTTGCTTACCTGTCTCCATCCCCGGTCACCTGAGGTCAGACCAGAGAAACCCAGGGATATCTGCAGTGCTGCGGTGTATTCTAAAAGCTATGTGCACAGGCTTTGGGTAAGACTACCTACACCCCTGTCCTGGCTCCCTCCCTTTCCAGTTCTGTGGCCTTTGGCAAATTACTTAACTTCTGTGCACCTCAGTCTCCTTATCTGCAAAATGAGGATAATCATAGTAATTACTATTTGAGGTTTTGTAAGGCTCAGGGAAGACAGCACACACAAAAAGCTGAGAACAATAAATGATGTTCGTGTTTTCATTGCTGCTACAATTTTTATCGCTAATTCTTTTTCACCGTCTCAGTCTCTTTTCAAAGTCACTCCTTAACACACACTCCTGCAGATATGAAGCTGGGGCGCAATGTGGCAAGAACGTTTTTGGACTATTACCGGCTGAACCCCATGGTTGAGAAGGTGTCAGTTCCCATGCCAAGGCTGCGGTAAGTGGCAGAGCCGAGCCATCTGGGCTCCAAGTTCTTGGTTAACTGGCTTTGTGTTCAGGGGCAACTTCCCTTAGCTTCTCACTTCCCTCATTTTTCCATCTGAGTGACAGGAGAGGAAAGCTGGCCCTGGCATAGATATTTGATGGCCTGGGGCAGCAGCATATGTTTCCTGTATCACTGAGGGTCAGTGAGGGTCACCTTTCTGGGTCTAACACAGGACTCTACAGGGACCAGGGTGGTAACTGAGGAGCTGAGCTAAGTCATTGCTCTAAGTGAGTCTGGGTGTTTCCATGTGCTACTTTACCTGGTAGCTCACCTTCTAGGGGTTCCTCTATAAACTTCTTCAACCTTTTGATTTCTTCACCTGTGAAGCGAGGGCAGTGTTTTTTTCTTATAAGATTCATATGAGATGGGTATTAAAGCATCCAGCACAGGGCCAGCAGGTAGCGTTAGTGGTTAAGGCACTGGATCCCACACTACTGACTCTGCAGTTTAAGTCCTGGACCCCTGTACCTTGACAAACCAATCGTGCATGCATACATGCCCAAAGTCCCAAGAGTATGGAAGAGAAAGGATTACAGCATGGCCATTCCCCACTGGGCTGTGGTTTTTCACTTTCCTTCTCTCTGTTTCTGTCTTTCTCTGGTGAATGTGCATGCCCTATGGTAAAAAGCTAAGAAAAAAAAAGAAGAAGAAGAAAAATAGCACCCAAGTATGCAGGTATTCATAGATCCTTTCAATGCATCATAGTCCCCAAGATGTGAAGGTTTGGGGTTAGGGAAGACACACCCCTGAGAAGGCCCAGCTTGGGTCCTCTGCTGGGACAAACTTGCAGGGCCATTGAGGAGAGAAGTTTGGGAGGTGAGCATCTGTCCTGTCTGAGAGCTGGGCCAGAGCCCAAAGCACTGGGTGTTCCCTGCTGGTCATAAGCCCAGTGAGCATTTGGGCAGTGACATATAATGGCATCTGGAATGTGTTAGTCTAATCCTGCCTCTTGACCTTATCTCCTCTCTGCCAGTGGCCCAGCCTCCTTGAAGGACATGACAACGTCCAACACTCTGTTCCTGCCAGACTATTCTCTCCACTGACTGTGCCCATGTGCTCAGGTGCTTCAGGGTCTTTGCACTAATGCACCTTCCTTCCTACCTATTTTTCATAAAAATAATATAGATCACTATTATCTTTTATACAGACTCTTTTTTGCTCATCATCTTACTTATTCCTCATTCTATCTTACAAATGAGGAAAAGGTGAAGAAAATTACCTGAGCTCAAAGAGCTTTTGGCAGATCCAAGGCTTGATACTAGGCTTTTATAATTCCAAAGATGGAATGAAATCCCACTAAGCTCCACCTCAAGTGGAGGTTCAGCCATGTGGGTTCAATTTTGTCTAAGGCTCATACAAACTATGAGCTCTTTGGTGAGTTTCTTTGCCTCGTAAAGCTTCTCTCTACTTACCTATAATCAGGGGTAGTAACAACAATCTCTAAGGGTGGTTTTAAAGATTAAATACATGCATAAGACAGTGCCCAGCAGCCAACAGGTGTTCAATAAATACTTTCATCTCCTCTGGTATCCAGGTTGTAGTCTCAGATTTACAACCAGCTCATCACGGCTCAGAGCAAGTTCCCTGGTTTATTTGGCTAGGATGGCTGATGTCTCAGGGCCCCCATTCCACAATGCTGTGAATCATACATCTCTGAGCCTCAGGTCCACGTAGAGTCTGTGCTACAACTCTGACTGATCTCAGACTGTTCATGGATCATCTGGGGTCTTTGAGCCTTCCATCTTGCAGAATGATCACATCTGTTTCTCCTCTGTGCCCCCCGCAGTGCCTATCCTGCCCTGAGGATACATGTATGTCTACATCCATTCATTCACTTAGGAAAAACAACACTTGATGCCAGGTCCCTGCAGGAGGGAAGTGCTGGAACAAGTAGATGATGAAGGCATGACCTTTGCCTTTGAGGAGCTCACCTCTAGAGGAAAGCACTCAGTTCATTCTCAAGAGTCATTCTTGATTGGTTAAAGTTCTTAAAAATTGAAAGCCTTATAAAACTCAAAAGAATTCTCAGAATCTCATTTACAAGTCAATTTGTGGATTGTCTTTTTCAGATCCTCTGTCAGCCAGAATAAAATTATCTTAATCCCTTAACCACTTCTTTCTTGCACGTTACACTGTCACAAACCAGTGAAGCGATGCTGACACTCGAGAGACCTCAGCAGTCATCTAGTCTCTCTTTGTGATACAGATGAGGACGTAAAGGCCCAGGGAGCAGAAGGAGCTGGTCAGGGTCACATGGCCAGAACCAGGACCAGAGCCCAGGCCCTAGACCTCCACCCAGTGTTCTTAACATCAGTACCTGAAGTAGGGAGAGGGTGGGCCCCTGAAACTGAGTCCGAATGGTGCAGAGGAGTTCTCAGAGTCCTGATTTCAACTGCCCATGACACCTCCTTGCCCTGAGCTTTGTAGCTTCCTTCAGAAATGAGTTGAAGAGCACACTCTTCAAAGTTCAGAGCTTTGAGGACTAGAGGTAAATGCACATGCCTTAAATTGGGGGGAAAAGAGAAAATAAACTCCTTCCCTATCACCACAGCTCTGCCTCATCAAACTATGAACACCAATTAGCTCTAAATCAGTCAATAACCCCATAACAATGAATTTCCAAAAATCTACAAGGCTCTGAGCTCTGATTTGGGATTTGAATATGTCTCCCTTTTTTGTGTGTGTTATTTTCCACCCAAGCATCAAATAGCTTAAGTGAAAGAGCAATTCTGGCTTTAAAGGAAAATTACATGTTTTGACTCAGAATTAATCTTTGTTTTCTCCCATCTCTATGGATAATTACAACATGTCAGTTTCTACCCACATACTGGCAGGAGCTTGTTGCCATCTTTGGGTGCTGGGTCGCCCTTCAGATAAGGTCCCTGGGCAGGGGTGGCATTGTGGGCATGAGAGCCTGTGCTCTGGGACATGGTGTTCATAACCAAAGCTGAGATCCCACATCTATTTAGACCACAGTGACACTGTCACAGAGCTAAAGCCCACCGACAGGGATAAAATTAGACAAGAAAAGATGAACGGGCCAGGTGAGCTTGTGTGTATAGACAATAGCATGAATATAAAGAATAAACTGGTCTCTGAGTGACAGGTGGGCTCAGACTCAGCAACAGGCTGGGAGAGCTGGGTCCATGATGGGGTTATGATGTTGCGTGTATGCGTTTGCATGAGAGATCATCTGCGGCTCAACACTTTGGAGTCACCATGTGCCAGGCCTCATACTGAGTGCTGGCAAGTCACAGCCCCTGCCCATCACAAGTTCAAGTTTATAGGGGATAAATTCATGTACACATGCAAAAATAACAGATAATATTGAACTGTGATAAGAACTCAACCACATATCATATTATGACCTCTCTTAAAAACCCTCCACGGCTCCCTAGTACCTTTAGGGTAAGATCCCACTCTTCTTTCTTGCTCTTCAAGATCCTGGCCACATTTTAAGCTTCACTTAGTGCTTCCTACAACACCCTTGTTCCTTCAAGTACCCTCTCCAGCCCTGCTTTCAACCGCTTCATGTCCTATGCTTCAGACTGAACAAGTTTGCTATTGTCACACTTCCATGTCTTTGTTCACCCTTTCCCTATTCCTGCAATGTTCTCCCTTTCTGCCTATAGACAGTGAACTCCTATGTATCTTTCAAAATGCAGTCCAAATATCATAGTCTCTGTGTCTTTGCCCCTGTTTCCCACCTGAGATAGGGCTGCTTCCTTTCACTGAGCAACTGTGTTTTATACAGACCTCTAGCATGTGTGTCCCATGGTGTCCCATGGTCGCCTCTATGCATGTCTGGCTTTCCACTAGACAGGCTGCCCCTTAAGGGACTGTTTTACTTACTCCTGCACCCTGAGTGCATGGCACAGGGCCTAACATAAAGCCTAAATAAGGCTGAACGTAACTGAATTATAACATGGTGTCACTGAGGAAGCCCCCAGAAATGATCTACTTCAACCCCCTCACACTTCTAATAGAAAAGAAAAGTGAGGCTCCACCAGAAATTACTTTGCCACACTCTGGCAAGTATTTGACAGTGGTAGGCATTTCCCAAGAAAACCTCAGGGAGGAGGTAGGGTTGGAAGTTGGTTTGAAAGGACATGCAGAATTTAGATTGAAGAAGCAGAAAGGGGAGAAAGAGTATTTCATATTGGGAAAAGGATGTAGAAAGATGAGAAGTAGGACCTAACAAAACACATTCTAAGACAGACAAGGCCGAGTTGTTTGGAGCAAAAGAGATGGTAAACATAAGATTAAATGTTTATTTCTATTCATCAAATAGTCCTCAAGCATCTGCTCCATGCTAGGCCTATCCTGGCTCAGGAATTAGAGAAAAAGCAAGCAACTCATTTATAGTTTCATGAGTGAAACAGCGGGGCAAAGAACAATCTAGAAAATGGTGGGGTGCTGGGTGACGTGATACACAAAGTGTTGCAGGAGCCTGGAGAAGAGACAGACTTATTTTCTATGAATATGGTGTTCCTAAAGGAGGTTCATCTAGAGAGGCAGAGAAGGGAACGATTTCTGCAGAGGGCTTCCAGTTCCTTCTCTCCCTCTCTGTGCCCTGTATTTAGTCACAGAGGCTTTGTCTTCCTAGTCCACCTTCTTCAAGTCTTTCTACACATTCGTACTCCTCCCTGGCTCATGTATACCTTGTCCCCAGGCTGTCATCTACCTATGGCTGTTCCACCTGTGACCAAACCTGGACTTGTCTCTCTAGGGCAAGAATACCTTCCTTTGCTCCCATCTGTGTCTTATACTCTCTTTGGGTGTTAGGAACCACACCCCTCAGTGACAGGCAAATGGCACATTATAGTTTACAAAACTCTTCCCCAGCCTCCATTTTACCAGAGCCTATGAGGCAGGAAGGACATTAAATTCTTCTCCTGTTTTAGAAATGAAGAAATGTAAGTTCAGAGCAAGGAAAGGATTGCTTCAGTATTATAATGCTCAGGACTACCATTCAAAGCATGTGCTCCAAGGTGCTCATGGTTGTTGATGTCTGGATGTATCTCACCTATGCTACACAGGCTTCTCATGCTAGCAAGGTCTTTCAGTGAGTGTGGATTTGGGGGCAGTGAGGCTTCATAGTGGGAGAGACATGTTAGGGCAAGATGTCTGTTTTTGTGCTGCCACCTATTTTGCCTTTACCTTATTTATGACTCATTAGCAATGAAAGAAAATGGATACTCGAACACTCAGGGCGTGTGTGTGTGTGTGTGTGTGTGTGTGTGTGTGTCCCAAATCCTGAGAGGACAAAGGAGAAGAAGGGAGTACCGTGTGGCCATTCCCCTGGGGGTGAGTTTTCTCTCCTCTCTCTATCTTTTTCTCTCTCTCTGTTCTCTCCCCTGTGAGTGCACACATCCTATGACAAATTTAAAAAGAAAAAGGGAAAGGAAGGAAGAAAGGAAGAAAGAAGGAAATAAAGAAATAAAAGAAAGAAAGAAAGGAGGGAGGGAGGAAGGTAGAAAGGGAGGGAGGGAGAAAGAAAAAGAAAGAGAAGAAAAGAAGGAAGGAAGGATGAGAGAGAGAGAAAGAGAGGAAGAGAGGAAGGAAAGAAGGAAGGAAGGAAGGAAGGAAGGAAGGAAGGAAGGAAGGAAGGAAGGAAGGAAGGAAGAAAGAGAAAGAAAGAAAGAAGGTACTCAAGATGAGATGGGCCATAGGAAGTCACTTCAATCCTAACTTCAATTTGGCCCAAGAGAGTCCCATATTTGTGGCATTTATCACTTTCTGCCAGACATCGTGGCAATCATTTTGTGTAAATATTTTGTGCAAATATCTCCTCTGCTAAACTGTGGGCAACTTCAAGACAGCATCAATGTCTGCCTCACCTTTGTCACCTTGTCTGTCAGACGATATCTAGAACTTACCACCAAGCCTTTGTAAACTAGGGAGGCAGATACACTAGGTGTGATTACGCATATTATCTCATTTAACCTTAAACATCACTACAAGCGTGGAATATTTTATTTCCATCTTATAAATAAAGCTCAGACAAGTTAAACAATTTGCCCAAAGTTGTATCTCTTGTGCATAGCCAAATGGAGAATTCAGTTCAGTTCTTTCTAACTCAAAAAAACCACTGCAAAAAAATCTTAGTTGCATGACTAAATGAATGTCGCATTAATTATTGGTCGGTAACATACCGAATGAACGTGGCCTTATATGAGGGAAAATGCCAAAATAAAGAAAACTGCATTCCTGACCTAAGGAGCTGATAGTCTACTTTTTAAAAATTTATTTTTATTTATTTATTTATTTATTTACTTGCTTACTTACTTATTTATTTATTGGAGCAGTTTTTGCTATAGGGCATGGGCGCTCGCCAGAAAGACAGAGCGAGACAGAGAGACAGAAAGCGAGAAATCTCCCCCTAGGGGGAATGGCCACACCACAATCTCTTTCTCCTCCATTCTCCTCTCAGGATCTTGGGCATGCACACACATGCGCCCGACGTGAGTTTTAAGCCACCAGGTCCGGGACTCAAACTGTGGTTGACTACGTGGGAGACCAGTGATATAGCCATTATGCCAACTGCTGATCCTGAGCTGATAGTCTACTATGTGAGCAAAATAGACAAATGGACAAGTCCTGAACAGTGGCATTAAGATATTCTATTGTGTGTTTGGTACTGAGACACAGAGATGAACCAGACTCATCTCCATTCTTCAAAAGTCCTCGGGTTTATTGGGGAAACAGACATAAAATGCCATGAATAGGCTATGATGAGGAGTATAAAGGGGATGCTTGAAATCCATGACGATTGTGAAGGGAATGAGGTCCCAATTCCCCCTATAGCTATTTTATGTGTCCATCCCGTCCCATTGTGGAATGGATTGAATGAATTGGAATCAAGGTGGAATGGTGGAAGAATTGGAGCTTTAGGACACTTAGGTTTTCTCCAAAATAAGAATGATACAAGGTACTATCCATCCATCAAACAGGCATTCGTTGAGCTCAGGTGCCTGCTTTGAACCAGGCTCTGAGCTGGGTTCTGGGGACACAGAGAAGAAACAACTGCTCCCAGGTGTTCACACCCCAGTGGAGGAGATAGACATGCACACGACTTATTTCATTACAGTGTATGTATGTGCTGTCTTCTCTCTTTCTGTTATCTTCCTCTTTGCAGGAAAGAAAAATCCCCTCCCTACAAGCACCCAGTCCTGCGGGGCCCGGCCAGCAACTACCCCAACGGCAAAGGGGACAAGAAGAGCTCAGTGAACCACAAAGACTCTTCAAACCCTTTTTAAAGACTGAGTTGGGAAGGCTCTCCTGGGGGCAGGAATGTGCATTTTCTGCTGGGGCATGAAATTAATTACCCTTCTCTAGTTTCCAAGACAAGGATTTGTGGGATAAGCATTAGCTAGTGAAGGGAAGGGGGGAAATGAGAAATTTCAGCATTGATTTTTGCTTTTACCAATGGAAATCAATTGTGAGCCTTCAGCTCAAAGCTCAAAAGCAAAATAAGTGACTGAAATCAGGTGAGCCCAGATATTATTTTCCACAACACAGAGATCTTCCAGTACACAGAAAACCTACACATCCCTTGGAAGAGTTGACACAACTCAGGTCCGTTTTTTTCAAAGCTCATATACCTTTTTAAGTTGTCTAGTTACTACAGCTGGCTACTTTTTAAAAATGGGCTGTGGTTGTTTACAGCTTTATGAATGCAGCATCTGTGTTTTCTGATCCAAAACAACAGGAACAACATATGAGCCCCAAGGCAAAGGTACTGTTGGGAACAATGGGACAGAATTTTTGAAATCACAGTGATCTTAGATATATGGTCACTGTATCTACATCCTGCATGCTTCCTGATTCCCTCAAGCCCCAGCATGCAACTTCAGAAAACTATTCTGAAAGCCACTTCCCAATTGTCCAGGTAGTTTAATAGAAACTTTAGCTCTAAAGACACAATGTATTGGCCAATCATTCTAAAAGGTCTATCGTGGGTAAGGGCTCAAGATCCCTGGTGACAGGGATAAAGCCTGGCCCCCAAAGAGGTAGGTTCTCATAAACTGCAAAGAGGAAGAGAGGACTGTCAGGTAAGGGGGATGCAAAAGATGAAAGGCTGTACTCCAAGGCAAGTAGGAATGATAAAATAAAAAACAGCAGTAGCAATTCCCAAGACAGGGTAAGCTAAATATTGTTCATTTTTCTGAAGAGCAAGTGCCTTTATTGTGATGAATGGGTCCAGGAGAGTTGCTCTCTTCCTGTCTATGGAAGCAGCAGGCTGAGTCACTATGACAGCCTGCTAATTAAAATGACCTCCTAGAAATGAGGATTAAGCAATAGAGAGAGGAAGGAAGACTCAAGGGAGATAGGGCCTTTAGCACAAAGCATTCTTTTACTATGGGTTGGAGATTTTTGAAGTTTGTTGCAAAACTCAAGAGCAAAGCTTATTCTCCTTTTGTATGTTGGTTTTCAGAAACAATAACAAAGGACCATACGTTAGTTGGTTACAAATGTGTGTTGCATATCAGTTTCTCTCTGAGTTCTGTTGCCCGGAGGAATACAAATAAAGTGATTTATGCAGCCCCTTGATTTCTCTGAGCATTCTTGGCACCATTCCCTATAGGTCTGTCTGCCTCAAGAACCAACCAGCCAACTCAAAATTGCCATAACCCTCACTTTGAGGTCAGGGACTCTGTCATCAAGATAAAGAAGAATAATCAAGACTTCAACCTCTTGCAGTTCTTGTGTCAGAGTCCTGGGGAGTTTAATTGACTGCAACCAGCTCAAAGTGAACAAGCAGTGGAGTAGCCTTTCAGAATTGATCCCATCACTTTAGATAGCATGAATGAAGCAGATTGCATAAAATGAGAGAGGTGATTTTCCAGGTTTATTTTTCCCTGACCAGGCCACTCCCATAATGTTGTGACTATATATTTGTCCCATATTTTAAAAACTATACAGGTAGCAGGTATGCTAGCAGTTTAAGAGCATTGTAGATAGACATTTCTCAGTTCTAATTCTGCATTCAAATCCCGGTTCTATTTGCTGATACCTGCGTGATTTTAGGAAAGTTACTTAATATCTCTGGGCCTTGGTTTCCTTTACCTATAAGACGGTAACAGTAAAATCTACTTCATTATAATAGTTTTGGAGAGATAATTAACTAATTAATTTAGGTATGGGAAATGTAAGCCCCCCAAAAAAAGAATCAAGAAATAATGTGCTCAATAAGTGATAGCTATAATCATTTGGAATGTGATCAAGATGATTAGGTGTGTGCAAATCATTCCCCATTGAGAAGACTGGAACTATTATTTATCCCAAAGATGAAAAATAAGAAGGAGTAGAAGTAAGAAGTTGAAGGGCATCATGGGACAATAGAAACAAATGATCTGTGTTGCTCAGAGGTAGTAACCAAATCCAAAGAACAAGTCTCAGATTTTTGCTCAAATGAAGAAAATATTCTCAAAAATAGAGCTGCCAATCATTGGATAGGGGGAACCAGCAGTTAGCGTAATGGCTATGTCGCTGGACTCCCACGTAGTCGACCGCGATTTGCGTCCTGGACCCGGTGGCTTAAAACTCACGCCGGGCACGTGTGCGTGCATGCCCAAGATCCCAAGAGGAGAATGGAGGAGAAGGGATTGCGGCGTGACCATTCCCCCTGGTGGGTGATTTCTCGCTTTCTGTCTCTATGTCTCTCTCTGTCTGTCTGGCGAGCGCACACGCCCTATAGAAAAAATCTCTCAAAAAAAAAATCATTGGATAGGCTCCCTTGAAAGACAGTCAGCTCCCCATAACCAGAAGTATATAAGCAGAGTCTGAATAATCATCTGTTAGGGAGGAAATAGAGGTGTTCATTCTCTGGGGGAATATTGTGCTGGAAGCTGGATGCTCTATAGCATCACCTCCTAGTCTATGACTCTGGAGAGAAATCACCTGAGGCAGAAGGTTACATTTCTGGATGTCAAAAGACAGATTGTGCAGTATAGAAAGTATTATGTAGCACTAGATACAGTGACATTAAGTGTTTCTGAATTACAACATATGGGCCCTGCTAACATTTAGCATTCTTTGAGAGGGAAAACAGGTCTATAAGGCAGACTGTAGAATGTGTTTGCAATAGGACTGTCTACTTCTCCATAATGGCAAAGAAGAAAAGAAAGGGCTGACCAAGAGACCAGAGGTTGTCTGGACCCTCCTTGTGGCTTTGGCCAGCTCAGTGCCTCCTTCGTTTTGATATGTATGGCCTTAAACTATACGGAAAAGGTTTCAGCACTGAGGTGGAGGACAGCACCAAACTGTCACGTGAACCCTGTGGAGGCTACTGATCCACCACCCAGTAACAGCAGGGGGCACTCTAGTCTGTCTTCTTGTCTACCCATTTCCTTCTCAGAATCACGAATGGGTAGGCCTGCCACCAAACCAATGTCCTGTGCATCTCTAAGAAAAAGAACAGCTAAGTAAAAAGAAAGGGTGGAGAGTGGAAAGACATGCTAGCTATAATAGAAATTGTCTGCTTAAAATAGGACAAGTTTAAGTGTAAATTCCAGTCTTCTATTTATTTCTACTGGCTTTGGGCAAAGAATTTAACTTTTTAAGCTTCAGGATTCTCATCTGTAAAATGGGAGTAATATCTATTTCTCACAGTTATGGTGAGGATTAAATATAATAACATCTGTAAAGTAACATCTGTGGGAATGGCACAGAGTAGAACTCCCCCCCCCCAAAACCATTTCCATCTTTGCCCCACCTCTCACCTGCTTATCAGGACTGGAAATCTCTTAGAGTTCTAGCTCGTCTTACTCCCTATTAAGTGCAGACAGAGTACAAACATTTCCTGCATAGAGGATAGGAGTATGAGACAGTCATCCATAAGAATGACAGTCACACTGAGGGATCAGAATCAGCCTAGGGACCTAGGTTTCATTCATCTTTGTGGCCTTAGTACTTAGCACAAACATAATAATCAAATCCATGGAATGAGTCTCAGTAAGACAGATTTCTTCTGCTCAGGGTGAGGAAAATGTTCTGGTGAACAGAGTTACCAACTCTTTTTTTTTTTTTTTTGGAGAGATTTTCACTGTAGGGCGCATGCGCTCACCAGACAGACAGAGAGAGACATAGAGACAGAAAGTGAGAAATCACGCCCCAGGGGGGATGGTCACACCGCAATCCCTTCTCCTCCATTCTCCTCTCGGGATCTTGGGCACGCATGCACACGCGCCCGGCGTGAGTTTTAAGCCACCAGGTCCGGGACACGAACCGCGGTCGACTACATGGGAGTCCAGCGACATAGCCATTACGCTAACTGCTGGTTCCCCAGAGTTACCAACTCTTAAATGGACTAGGTCCATTGGAAAACAATGAGCTCCCCATCACAAGAGGTATACAAGCAGAGTGTGAATGAACATCTGTCAGACTCTGCACTCACCGAGTAAGGATGGAAGAAATTATGGGGTGGGGTAGCATGGGACTGGGTCATTCAAAGGTTCTGAACCCTTGAGGAAGCAGAAAGAGGCATTGTAAGTTGGGGCTCTGAAGACAGTGCTGGATGCAATGTCCACCCAGTCTGAAGTGAGGCAAAATTGACAAGACTGAAAAGAGAAAGGAGTATCAATTCTGAAAGATACCATGCTTTACAAAAATAACAGCAAGCAAATCTTACCAGGCTATAGGTACAAAGCTCTTCCTAGGTTATTTTCAACAGGCGTGCCACCAAAGATCATCTCTATGAAGTAATCACATCCATGTTCTCTGTCAGCTGAAATTTGGGATTTCCCCCATGCACCCTCATCTCTATCAGCACTTTCTACTCTCACAGATTCAAGATGTGTACCGGTCAGGGCCTGCTTTCCTCACTTTGCTGATAAAGAAACTCAGATCAGTGTGATTGAGTCCCTTGCCCATAGTCTACAGCCAGTCAGTAACTTGAACAGGTCCTGGACACAAACCCAACTCTGCCCCACCTACCACCTCTTGTTCAACTTAAACCTCAACCTGACCAATTCAGCAAGCTATCTTGACAGGGCTTGTTGTAACTCTTTAATGCTTAAGATTTGCTTGTCTCTGGACCACCCTGTAGTGCAGTGATGAAGCACCATGTATAGGGAGCTGTATCCCACATGACCCTATCCCACTTGGCCCACCTGTTTGAATCCTTGGGCCTAGTGGCTTGATAAACATGCTGAGCATGTGTGCATGTGTGCCCAAAATTCTGATGGGTTAAAAGAATGAAGAAAAATAATTGCCTATGACCATGCCCCATTAAGAAGTACTCTGTCTCTCTCTCTTTCTCTTTCTCTCTTTCAGTCTTTCTCTCTCTCCCCTCCCCTCTCTCCCTCTTTTCCTCTCTGGCAAGTAAGCATGGTCTTCTAGTACTAAAAAGTTCATTTGTCCCTCAAAGACCTGAACTCTATTTTTGGTTGACCCCATGTCAAGCTTAAGTCCAAATCTACTTCTCTCTCCGCCATCAGCTGTCTTGGTTAATGTCCTTTTCTACTTAGTTTCCCAGCCTGGAAATCTTGCCATGGTCTTAACTCCTTTCTCTCCCTTTCCGCACACCAGTCACCAGGCCCATTACTTCTACTTCTGTATCTGTCTGCCTTCAAGCAGTATTATGGAGAGATTTGTAAGTCAGACAGACCTGAGTTTTAACCTCAGTTCTACCACTTGCTATTTGTCTTGTGAATCTGCTAAAGCAGAATTAACTTTCCCTGTCTTTAAACTGAGACAATAATACCTATCAACTGGATTGTCATTCAAAGCCCTTCC